TCGTCGTGGGCCTTCTGCGCCTGGACTGAGAGCCAGGAGAACACCCGAGCCACCGGGTGCTGTTGGGGGCCGAGCCGGCCTTTGGCGCCTTGGGCATCTCTCCGTTTTAAGCCACGCTCGGCCAGAACTGTTGGTGGCTGTAGGAAATCAACCGAGCCAAGTGCCCGGCTCTAATTGGCTTGAGGGCAGGCCTTGATACGCAGCGTATGAAGCCACTCAAGCCAAGTCTTTGATTGTCAGAGTCGGGGCACCAAGACCCACCGACTCAAAGTCTGCGAAATGTTCACATCAGGAAACAAGCGCTGAGAAGCAACCACAACCCCTCCGGAGACGCTTCCGGTTCTCATTTGTTGCGCCTGATGTCGGCTTTAATGACACACCAAATGGAAAGTGTCCCCTGGGTTTCCCTTTCAATGAAGCCTAAAAAGGGAATCCAACAAAACCACACCCAGTAGGGCCGAATCGGGCTCCAACGTTTGACCAACAATGCTGCGCACATCAATCACAACGCAACATGCAAGCATGGCGGCTCACCTGCGTTCGCTTTCGGCCTCACTTGGCTATGGTCAACTCGTACAATTTGACGTGATGTTGTCACAACGGCGCCAACAAAAAAGCATCAAAACATCCATCGAAAGATGATCCTGGGAACCCCAACAAATCGCCGTCCCATCTGCGGACGGGATGGCGCGTAGGTTCCCACAGATGGACATCTTTGACCCACCTCTAAATTGCTTCTTTCCCAACAGGGCTGTTGGTCGGTGAGTCCTAAAGCAGCCATAATTCACAGGACAATTTTCGGTGGGTTTTAAAACCGGTTTGCCATTTATCCAACATTTTTAGCTTGTAAACTGAATTGATAAGACGAGAAATCAGCCACCAAGGGAATCCAGTCAGGGGGAATCCCCATAATTCAGGGGGCAATTTTCGATTTTCGGGTGGGTTTTAAAACCATATCTCCCGCCTGCTTGGAGATCTCCTGCTGCGCGCTGCTGTTGCCCTTGGCGAAGCGCTGCATGGTCTGCGTCCACTTCTTCCTGCTTGCGCGTTGCTCACCGACGCGATCCCATGGGTTGCGGTTGTCTCTGGGGGGCTGTGGGGGAAAAAAAGGAATGAGACCCCACTTTCTATCCCTGGTCCTACGATAGGTCACCATGCTTTGTGCTTGTGGATCCCTTGCATACACTATGTTGCAATGACGGCGAAATCGTACCGATGGCCCAAAAGCAGATGCAAGTCGCAGGCTGCGGGCCGACTCCCGCCTCCCAGAACTAAGGGAAAACCAAGGACTGTTTCTTTGGGGCGCTTCCACTGGAGTATGCCACTCTTGAGGTGACTCAATGTCTGTCCGAGACAATGGGTCTAGACTCAACCTTCGTGAGGCTTCCCTTAGGACAGGGGCTGGTTGCGCAAGAAAAACCCGCATTTCTAGCGACCACCTTTTGCTTCCCCTTCAGAACACGTGGGCTTGATCGAAACAAACCTTGGCTGGAACGCGGAAAAAACAACGAAGGTTCGAAAGTGTGCCCACTTCATGGGAAAGAGAGGAGAAGTAACAAACCAGTACCCTCGCCTGCGCAGGGGCTGCAAGCAAGCCAAATTTCAACCATTAGGGGACCACAGGTTTTAGTCATTGTTTCCATTTACCAGGGTGCCATTTTGAGTACCTATTTTTGACCCACAGCCACATGTTGGGTTGAAATCTGCGAGTCAAGATTTCAAACTCTCTGTACTTGCTTGCACAACTATCTTTTAACAGAGATCCGGATGCATTATACACCTGAACATTGCAACTTGTAAATGCTGGTTTCCCTTTGTTTTGGTACGGATAGAAAGCCACATGTGTCAAATGGTGGCAAAATGTATATATCTGTTAAGGAGCCCTGCTAAAGCAGCCAAAAACAAAGGGGACAACTTTTGTCAGCGAGGGTCACCAACACAAAAGCAAAACAACACACCGCCGGTGGATGGAGCTCAGGTGAAATAAGACAACGTCTCTTGCCCTGCGTCCCTGCAAACAGGAGGCGATTCTCTTGGTATCGCAAGACATCTCCCTTTGCTGCCCGAGCTTTCCACAACCAAACTGACAATTTAACCCCAGAGCGCTGCAGCTGGTGATTACCAATTGGTTACCCTTGGGGTTTGGTCCTTCAACTGGCATCCCAGTTGAACTTCGCGAACTGAACATGGCAACCTGCCGATTTCCAATCCCACCCTGATGCCTTTGGATCTGACCGTTCCATCTTGGCCCCCTGGGGTACAAATAGCATGTTCAGATTATTCATATCTAAATTATCGGTGTGTTTTCAGGTTGCCCCCTCAAAAGACGAACAGGAACCCTCAAAAACAAACAACGTACCTATCTTGACTGTTTTTCTGGGGGGTTTAAGTCGGACTGGTTGTTTGCCTGAAAAGGCATGCGGACGCATCTCCTGGCATTCCGCTGACGCAGCAAGCGCTTCTCCGCGTGCTTCCGCTCGTAGTCCTAATGAGCGAAAAAGTCACTTGGGGCCTTGGCCAACGGGTATTGCGTCTCTTCAGCTTGTTCAACCAAAAAACGAGAGCTGGCCCTTCGCACTAGAATAGCATTTGTGGGAGGGTATCTGGAAGATCAGTTTACCCCCTGTCGGGTGCCACGTTAGTGGGAGAGAGGTTGAGCTTTTAGGATGACTTTGGCCAGCACTAGCCACAAGTTGGAGGATCGCTCGCGGACCCCACCGCTCACTGGCCGAGGTCAGTGTCCAATGGTTGACCTTGCGCCTTGACCTGAAACAGACCAAGGGAAAACAAAAAGGTTAAAAGCTTGGCTTTGGACTCAGGTTCTCCAAAGGGGATATTCACACCTGAGGGGGACGTCGCAAACACACCCCACACCGACACACGAAGACTAAAATAGACCAAGACTGGAGGTGTGGTTTGGGAGGGGTTGGGGGGCGGTAGGAGCAGGTTTATGGTCCTGCATGGGTGGCTTGCCACCAAAGAACCTAGAAAAAATAACGGCGAATCTCCTCGCCCAAAATCAAATCTCAATTGATTTTTTGACCCTGAGGAAATGAGGGAGTGGCCACTCACGGATGCTGATGGACATATTCCTGCACTGGTGCAAAAATTGTCCATCCGCAGCAGTGGCCTGCATTCCCGCCTTCAACATCTCCCGCCAAAAAGAAACTCACTATAAATTGACCCCAGGTTCGGTGATTCTTGAAACCAACAGGAAGGAAACCTGGAGCCCTGCATGCCAACAAAAGCCCTGCAAACATGGCTCAGCGTCTTTCCCATGCGACATGAAAAGGGTGCCGAGCTTGGCCCAACCCCTCCATCTGTTCTGAAATCAATGGCCATGTTTGTAGTTGATTTGAACCAATCGAACAAAGCCCCTTTCGTGGTGAGAACAAAGTCTTTCGAGTACAAGCCGTGTGTGTGTGTGTGTTTGTTTTTATGCTTGTGCTTGTATATGTGTTTCTGTTTGTGGTTGAGGTTGTGCTTGTGCAAAACCTCCTTGTGCTTGTCCATTCTGCTTGTGCTTGTGCTTGCGCTTATGTTTTTGTAGTTGTAGTTGTGTTTGTGTTCATGCTTGACTCTGGCTATTTTTGGAGGTCGCCTTTAACATCCAAATGAAGCAACGCCGATCCATGGGTATGGCCCCAACCATGACCACGTATTCCCCGGCTCCCCAAAGGCGATCCCTCGCAGAACGCTTGTTTTGCGCTCCATGTTCTGAGTAAATGTGGCAGGGTGTCGCCTTTTCTGTCCTTTTTACATCTAACCAAGGGTGGGTGTTCGACTTTCCATCTTCCGTAAGTTGAATCCCGATGAATCAACAGGCACTAGTGCTCCTTTCCCAGGGGTCTCGGGAAATATTTACTAAGGTTGCTACATATGAAGCATAATCTGACCGTATTGTTTTTGGTGCACACACACACACAAGCACAAACACATGTGGGTTGTCCGGGAAGCGCCACTACTGTTGCTCTTTCTCTGGCAGCCCCAGAGAAGAAGGCTGCATTCCGGGATTTCGGAGGCGGGGGGGGGAGTGGACGGGATGGAGGGGGGAAAACGTTCGTCGTGCAACATCAACATGCCTCACACAACAGCCCCTGGTAACGTTTCGTCGCACAAGCAGCAACGTGTTTCACACAGCAGCCACTAGCAGTAACATGTTTCACACAACAGCCCCTGATAGCGTTCGTCGCACAAGCACCAACATGTTTCACACCCCTTTAATCAGGTGGCAGAACCCCTTCCAGAAACGGCCAATTGACTTTCGTGCGCTGCTCGTGTGCTGAAAGTAGGTGGATCAAGTGTTCACAGGAAACCGAAATGAAACCAAATCTTTAATTTCCTCTTCCCCAGAAAGAGCAAACCCTTGACTTTGAAGAGCAGGGCTGTGGGAAATGACCACTTCTGTGATACAACAAAAAGGGCTTCCCAGGGGGAGATTCCCTTGTATCACAGAAGTGGGAATAAACCCCTTGATTCCACAACCCTTCTCCAGAAAGAGCTCAAACACCATTTTCTCCCCCAGGCGTGCCGCGCGTCTTTTTTCCGCTCGCCGGCGCCGAGCTCGCGAAATCTCGCACTTCCGATCCAAAGGCTCAGAGGCTCAGAGGTCGCAGGGGCCCAAGGCTCCGAGTTCTAAGCTTCGGAGAAAACATGTTCCGCGCGTAATCTTGGTTGACGTTGGGTGGAAGGGGAGCAACAATTCTCAAATTTTAGCAGTTCAGTGGTTGGAGTTCCACAAAACCACAAGAAGCAAAAATGCAACAAGTTTCCCAACAACAACCATGAATTGAGGGTGGCTTTGCTTTCGAGGGATCTATTTCAGGGACGAGATCCCGAAATCCCGACATCGAGGTTGAGACTACCCTTGACGGTTTGTTGAGTCGGAAGACTGACTGGCCGGGCGGGGGGGGCAAGCTACGGAAAAGAACCAGTTGCGAGGGTTTCTAGGTTTTAGAAACTTTCAGTGGAGTCCCCTAAGCAAGTCTAGCTTCTTCCATTCCGGGCTTCCAACCTCAAGCTCTGGCCTGTCTTCCTCATGTCACGCTCCTTGTCCCATGGTCCCATATGAGGTAACTCGCGATGACTCTTTTCTGGTGGCTCGAAGGGAGCCATCTCCGGATTTTTCGAACGGAGCCCGTGGAATTGGGCTGCGAAGCTCAAGTTGGGAGCTCAGGTGGATGGCTCCGAAGACCTACCCTTTCAGAGTGAGACGAGCAGCTTTCCATGGTGGATCCAACGGGCGGTTCGCATCCGGCCATCGCTGCTAAAAGTACTCGTCGGGCCTCCATCCAGCTCCTTCGCGTCCAGCTGGCCACGGGCCGACGCTTCAACTCCGCGAGACGGCAGAAACCTCCGGCGGAACTCCGTCGCAGAGAACCTCTTCAGCCGGAAGTCGCCTCAAGCCTCAGTGGGGCAACTTCCTGGTAACATGTGCAGGGTCAACTCTGGGGAACTTCGTGAGCCCGGTTTGCGTGGGAAGCCTGGTAAGCTCCCCCATGTCTTCCCAGAGGAATCATGACCGAACCTCAGACCGTTGCACCCGAAGAGATCCCTTGCTCAAACAAGCATCGAACCCGCAAGGCCTTCCAGTGTTCCTTGGGCAAGTGAAGGTATTGAGGGCTCACACGGAATGCGAGCGAAATCCGAAGTCAAGGCCCAATGATAGAAAAAACCCTGTAGACCTTATTTTACCTCATTTGGCCAGACTGTTGGGTGGGGGGGGGGTTCACAACACTTGGATGTTCAACCCACTTAGTAAATTGGTACACTACGCTTGGGGTAGTTCCCGAAAAAACACGGACAAAAGGCATACAGTCTGGAAAAGCTCCCACAAAATTTGTCCAAAGCCTGCAATCAAGATTAGATCCTCAAGTGCGCAACTTACGTCATACGTGCGCATGTTTACCCCGGCTCGGTGAGGTTGCCATGGGGCATGGTTTGGAGTCCCCGCCAATTCACCCCAAAGAGTCTTCGCGAAAAAAAAAAAAAAGAAGCTTCGCGGCCATCGCGGATCTTTTGCAGGGCTTTTTTCACAACATTCATCACACAAGTAGTGCGCAAAGTACAAATCCGCACTCCGGCTTGAAAGTCCCATTATTTAGTACGAAGGTAGTACATAAAGCAAACTTGCGTCTACTGTTCATAGCTTTCGCATGCGCAATATGCCTCAAGATATATATATTTATGTATATATATATATATATTTATTTACTTATATATGGTCACCCTTCCCCATGGCCTACCTTTCCTCGCTTCTAGTTGAAGGTGTCAACTCTACTCTGTGTGCCTCGTTCTTGCGGATATATGTATATACACACGCAAACATCTATGTCAGAGAAACGCCGCCCCATTTTCTTCCAGTACTCTGGATCCGTTCCCTCTAAGCTTCCTCTAAACTTCCGACTAGTAGGATGGGCTCATGAGTCCAGGGCGATCAGAAAGCGAGAAGCGCGAACACACCCCGGCCCCGCGCCTCAGCTCCAGCTCGCCCAAGAGCTGGAAGTCCCCACCGCCAGGCTCTCGCCGCACGTACCCCGTCCTGCGAGGGCGGGACAATGACATGCGCGTAACAAAAAACAAATGTAGATATACATATATATATATATATATGTATATATATATATATATGTGTTTCTATGTGTATAGGTATGTATAAGTGTATATATATATATATATGTGTATGCAAGCTAACCAAACGGCACCACACACGAGCACGCGATAACTCTTTCATCCGAGCAGTGTGTTGGTGCCAGGGACTCATCTTCCCCTGTCAGATGACCAACGCTGGGTGGGCCCCATGAACCACCCAACTCACAATTCTCAAAAACTGAAGAACGGGTGTGCAGACTGATAGCGCCCGCCCCTGAGCCGGGGCCCGTGGCACCCAGGCCACAGGGGGGTCTGCCACCAGGGGAAGTGAGTCACCCACCGGCTCCGGTCACGGGAGCATGGGTGGGTCCACGCTGAGATCAAATGCATCTCCATTCAGGAGACGCGGGAGAAAAACAAACTCCTCACAAAGTTCCTGCTTGCAAACCCTTTGCAAAGGGTCAAACGCAGAGAAGTCCGGGTGCGTCAGCTCATCAGCCCATTGATTGAATTCACGGGGCACATGGTTGGCCGCCAGCGAGCAGCCATGGGTGTGGAGCAGGAAGACCAGCTCCATCAGGATCGCCGCCGTGTAGGGCTTCTTGGAGCCAAGGTTGAGCATCGCCATGACGTTGCCCTGATTGTCACTGCCCACCGGGAGTCGGACCCGGGAGGACAGAGGGCCTTGGTGCGTGAGGATCATGTTACAGAGGAAGAGCGTGCCCAGCATCTCCAGAGCTGCAATCCTCCGCTTTGGATCCCCATTCTTGAAAGCCCAAGGGTACTCCTCCACATGGATCTGCTCATGGAACCAGTACACCTCCTTCTTGTCCGGTTCCACTGTGTTGGAGCACCAACCTCCCACAAATGCCAGTCCGTCGTCCGAGGCGCTAGCGTCGCTGCAACCCCACCAAGAGGACTTTGGCAAGTAGGGGGAGTACTGGACGAAAGGCGTGTTGAAGAGGAACCGCAGCATGAACGCCAGCATCCTGACCACCTTGGGGGGTTTCCCCACCGTGGTGGTGGCCATCTTCCAGGCCCAAAGTGGCTGGAGCATCGATTTCGCCAGCGGACATGCGGCCGTTGCCCATTGGATGCGGCCCAGGGCCTTCTCGATGTCCTTCGAGTGCATCGCCTGCCCTTCCACCATGATCTGTAAAACCTCCATAACCAGGATGTGTTTGTTGGCCGCCATGAGAACCTGCGGGATGTTCGGGTGGACCACGAAGCCCAGCCACGTGTTAACCTCCGCCAAGTGCGTCTTCTTCCAGCTAAGTGGGGTGCCCAATGCCAGGAGAGTGGCCAGCAGCGCCACCGCCAAGTTCACTGCCCCCTCGCTTCGAAGCAGCCACAGGAAGTCGTCGACGAAGACGAAGTTCCAATTTACTTGAGGGAAAAGCGCGTAAAGGACCCTGAGCAGAAGGGCTGCCAGGCGTCCCCAGTAGGATTGGGCACTAGCCATGCCATATGTGCCTACCTTGTTCACCCACCATTCTTCCCCCAGTGAGGCCACCTGGAACCGCCAGTCCTTCCTGAGGACCTTCACTCTCCGTGGGCCTTGGTGACGTCCGCCTTGAGCAGCACCCACCTGGTGCCCGGCTCCGGCCAGAGCCAGCCCCCAGGTGGAGGTTTGACGATCCCCCCCTCGGGGCCAGAGGCACCCTGAGAGGGGGGTCCCTCCTCGGCTGCCGCATGTAGCCAATGGAGGTTCCTGATCGTGTCATTGGCCCCTCCCACCGAGCCATCGTAGATCGTGCGGATCTTGTCCCCCTCGTCGATTCCCGCCAGGGGGCCGGGACAAAGGTCCTCGCTGTCGCAGCCACATCGCGATGCTGCCGCCTCCTTACTGAAGGGGCCCTCCACCATGCCCATGGGGACCTCCTCCAGAAATGTGCCCCGGATGAGCTCGCTGAAGTGATCCGCCGAGGGGTAGTTACCCCTACCCGTTGGGTGGGGGAGGGTCGGGCCCACGGGGCCAACCGTCCCAATGAGGGCTTTCCTCCACCGTCTCTTAAGGGACGCTGCTTGAAAGCCATCTGGAGGTACATGACCTTGTCGGAGATATTGGGGTCGTGAGTGATCGGCAGGATGGTAGGCCGATCCGAAATCTCCATGCCCTGGTGTGCCCATGGGTCCAGGGGAAGAGTTCCCCCCCCAAGTTCCTCCACCTCGCCAGTCCTCTGTGTCGATGTCCCAGCCTCTGGAGTGTCCCGAGGCCGAGACCGGAAGTGAGCCCAAGGTCAGACCTGCCAACGCTTGTTGGCCCGCCTTCAGCCTCCGGGACTGGCGCTTGTTGTCCCCCGGTGTGCTGGGAGAAGGCTCCCTTGGACGCCTCGGGGGGGTCGTTGGGTTAGCCTGGGGCGCCATACCCCCCGGCCTCAGCGCCTCCAGGACGGGTCCCGCTCGGCAAAGGATGGCCGCTGCTAGACCCTGCATCATCTGCTCCGGGTACCGGCTGAGGTCACTGGAGTTGAGCTTTTCTCCCCTGGGGTGCGACCCGTGGTTGCAACGCAGGTCATGCCAATGGTGGAGAGGAAGGTCCGTTGACAATGCCGTGGACTTCACAACCACCTGGCCCAGGCGGCACTCATCAAACTTGATGAGGGAGTGGTGGAGTGCCCTCGCCCATTGAACGTAGGCCCGCGTGACCCAGATCGATGAGCATCTCGCTGCCCTCGGGCTCTTGCTGCACTCCATCGGGTCCATCGGGTGCTCCAGGAAAGAGGAGCCAACCTGCGGGACCGTCAGCTGATCCAGCCCCTTGTAGGCCAGCGAGGTCAGGTACATCTGACGGAGCATGTCAGGTACATCTGACGGAGCATGAGCACGCTGTCATTGTCCGTGTCCTCCATAACCCGGGGCTCCAAGTCCTCTAAGCCCCACAAGGTCTGCTCTGCTCTGCCCCTCACCGGCGGCGGGCCACCCGGTTTGGGGAATCACCTGATTCTGCTCCACGTCCTACAGTTGGGGCCACCTCCCACCAATGCGACCTTGCCCGCCATGGCCATGGAGCACATCGTCGAGTAAGGCTCCTCGCCCAGCATGTCCTGGCCCAGGTCACCGCCCTTTCTCCTGATATCCACCGCCCAAATGTACTCCGAGAAGGCCGGGTTGTAGGCATGGAGGTAGGCATCCAGGGCCCCCGCATCATCCTTCCCAGCGTACAGCAGGATGAGGGACGGCTTTGAAGACCCCGGCACTGGCCTCGGCGTCCACCCCAGTCTGAGCCTCAGTCTTTCCGGGATGTCCTGCATCCATGGGAAGGTGGGGCTTGCCCCCCCTAGGGATTCCGTGTGACCTTTGTCTGATCCCCCCGTCATCAGTCCCCGGGCTTGATGCTTGCCCTGGCGGTTCTTCCCGCCCTTGGAACGCCCCTTGCTGGGTGGATCCTCACCTCTGGGTCTCTCTGGGGGGTCTTCCCACTGCCTCGGTGGGTGCGGGGGAAAGGGATGCTTCCGCCCTTCTGGAGTGCCCTGTCTGGGACCGCTCCTCTTCTTCGGTGGAGGGGCTTCCGGGGCCGGTGGCACCCTGGAGAAGTCGCCCCCCATCTGAGGCCGTCCTGGCCTCCCCCGCTCTGTCTGCCTTCCGCTGTGGCTCTGGTGGGGCTGGCTCTCCCCCTCTGTGTGCACTCTCGCACTGGTGGCCTGTGATCCCAACTGAGACTGGCAACCTGGGGTGGCCTCCTGTCACTTGGGAAGGTGAGGGCATGCCTGTGGCGAATGCTTCGATGGGGGGGCATCACACACCCACCCATCCTTCCTGACCGGGCAGTTGTGGGAATGGCCGCGCGCTCCCGAGCACTTGCCGTGGAGGAGATGATCTCTGCAGTACGCCACCCCTTTGGGATTCTTGAAAGCCCAGTGGTCAGGCCATGGAACTGAGGGGGAGTTGGGGGACTTCCCCTTGCCGCCCTTGCCGTTCGGCTTGGACCGGGTCGGCCCCGAGGGCCAGGCGCCTTTCCCCCCCTTCTTCGGCTTCTCCCACTGAGTCTGCCACACCTTAGGTGCCTTGCCCTTGTTCTTCCCCTTCTCCGACCTCTCGTTGCCAGAAGAGGAAGTCGCCCCTGATATTCTTGAGGGCATCGGAGAGGGTGGTGCCCTGGTGCACCATCTCGTGGATCTTCCTCCACACGTTGCGCTCTGCAAACAGCAAGGTGGTGTCACTCGGGGGAGGCCTTCTGCCAGCGATGTCCTCCCCATAGAACCAGTCATACCAATCGTCCAGCTCCGCCTTGGTGACCTTCAGGTTGCCAAACTGTGGCAGCGCCGCCGTGCACATCAGGAGCGTCGTCCTGAAAGTTTGGTGCAAACGTTCCAACTGGCGCCGAGATGTGGGGTGGCTCCTCACCTCTTCTTCATCCTCCCTGTCCCAGCCGTCCACCGTGATCTTCTTATGGGTGGATGAGGGGCGTTCCCCTTCTTCCGGGAGCGCGCTCACGATGTGTTTTGCCGGGATGTAGCCCAGCTCACCCTTGGCAATCAAACGCCACTGCTTCTTGAGGTAGCCATCACTCCCTTGGAACTCCAACCTCGGCTTCGGGGTTCCATGGATGGCCACGTAAGCATCCTCCAGCTGGCGCCTGTCACACAGGACCTCCAGGGGCGCCTTCGTCGGGCCCGCCTGGCCCGCCGGGTGGTCCCCTTGGTTGCCCCCCCGGGCCAAGCTGGCTGCCACCCGGACTGCCTGAAGGAGGCGCATCGCCGTGAAGGCCGAGGTCTGGACATTGAACCCGTTCTCCCCATCCCGGAATCCCAGGTCCCAAGGGCCATTCTCCCTCGCCGCCGCTGGGGTGTCCCAGCGATCCGCCAGGTCTTCCACCGTGACGTATTCCGCTGCGCCCAAAGCTGCCTGGGCTGCCCAGGGGATCTCCTTCCCAACCAGGATGGCCGCCAGTGGCTTGTGCAGCTTGGCCACGTCCTCCTTGAACTCGTCTGGGACCTCATCCGGGGG